CTTATGGCATTTTGTGTACTTTGTAGACTTTGTCAGCGGAAGCAAACCATGTTGCCTTATTTAGTGTCGGAGAACCGCAGCCTTCTTTACAACGCCCACAATAGGGCTAAAGCGCCACCTGCTGTAAAACGAATGAAATGATTAGTTCAAGATTCGTTCACGACTTGTTCATTTTACTGTTCGAGAGTCAAAGATTCGAATCAATAAAAAGAGTCGGTCTTCCCATCACTATCAGTTACAGTGGAGGTACTCAGCTGAGTATGAGTACGTACATTACTTCATCCGTCGGGAGTTTACCTATCTTTAGGAACGACTCCAGAAGTGACTTCCGGCGGCTCTTCTTTCTTTCTGTCCCATTGCGCGTTCAGGTTTGATGTAGCGCTTTTTATTTCAGTTTCTACAGTAAAATATTTCCACACAGGGGACGTATTACTTTGCAGCCTGCTATCTGGCTTCAAAATGTGGAGTGGATTCCTTGAACTGCGGCCTCACGATCTTGTTGAGCCACGTTCTGTTCAGGAAAGTGATCCCACAGTTTACAGTCATCCAACTGCCAGATCTGCTGGCAGGAATCTGACAAGGCTGGAGCTCAAACATGGTTCGTGGATCGGAATTCTTTGCAGGTTGGATCGGATCGGTCCTATAGTCCATGAAGTCCACGTCCAGATTGCATTGCGACCCAGGAATGGCATCACCATCATTATCAGACTATACACAGTAGATCATTGGCATCACTGGTGGCTGCTTGGCTTTTAACAGTTGTCAGATTAGTGAAAGTCTTCTGTCCAACGGTCGCACTAATGCTGCTGCATCAGCTGAAGTGGAATCCGCCAGCTCAGTGGAAACTGATAAAGTTGTCATTATAAACAACCTGCAAAGCCAAGGGAAACAAACAAACAAACTACAAATTAATATGTATTGGCAGAGAACATTTTTCCTATTAGAGACACAATTTATCTTGCACACACTAATCTCCAATTTGCAACTTCCAAACAAAAACAAAAACAAAACAAAACAAACAAAACAAACAAACAAACAAACAAAAAAACAGAGAGGGAAACACTTTCTCTATAATACTTCAATACAATGACTGTTTTATAAACTCCAAGCTTTGGACCTGTTCATATTTTTTTTAAACACAGTTTTACCTTATTCAAAATCATATTACAATATTAATTAATTGTCTTTCTTGCATGTAACCCTTTTGTTCTAGTGGGAGAGTTGCTAAGGAAGTGATTGAAGCCAGTTCTAAGATTCAGAGAGAACAACCTGAGGTGCGCAGGTAAGGAACATTTGCAAAAGCCCCAAACAGCTAAACAAGGGAATTGACAGGAAGGTTCTAAAAAAAGAAAAGACTAGAAGTCCTTCACTGGTGTTAGGAGAACCAAAGGATCCACTCTTTGGTTCTCCTAACACCAGTGTGGTTGATTTAGAGGAAATAAGCCAAATTCTCAAAACAGTAGTCACCTCATCAGCTAACCTTTTACTCTAAATTGTAACTTTGATTATTTTTGTATAAAATGTGATATCACATTTCTGGGAAACAAATTTGAGTTTGAGGCAAACTAGACAATAGTTCAAGGTTCAACCTCTCTGAAGCAGGTCTGGGAAGATGAAACTATATAGACCAGGCATGGCCGGATGCGGCCCATTCAGCTTTTTAATCCGGCCCACCAACTTTTCCAAATGATATAATTTATTTATATTATCATTATACTTCTGCCTTATCCCTGCAATATCCATGTTTCCCCAATATATCTATCACTTTTCTGTGTTCTATGTTCTCTTGTGTTTATTTAATCTAAAATAAAGTTGTTATTGGTTTAACCTGTTTTTTTTTTCAACATAATATGAGGGTTAAGAAAAATGAAGAGTGCATCATGACCTCCTTGTATAACAGAGCAGAATTTTGTTGTTTGTGTTGTTAGAGCCATGTTTGGTCAAAGTCGAAGTTTCAACTCACTCAGTCGTAAAAACCTCATCATGAACATGGAACCCCTGGTACCTGCACTGCCTTCTACCAATGAGTATGAGGAGATGGCCACGGACAACGGTAAGACACTATATTTACACACGTTGACACACCCGCTGACACACACAGCTGTGGGAGAGCTCATGTGGTAGGGTGGCGGCACAGGCACAGTGGTCAGAGCGGCAGCATTAATAGAGCAGCTGATGCTTCCTTCTCTCCATCAGTCTTGTCTCCCTGGAGACACCAATCACAACAGGCTAAAAATACCCTTCCCATGATCCTCTGCAAGGATGGGACAATGCCTGTGTGTGTCCATGTCTCTGACATTGTGTGTTAAGAGAGTGTACATTGTTTAATGAAAACATATCCACAGGAAAAAGTCGGGCTCCAACAGCTCGCCGCTGCAGCCTGGATTATCTTCGTTCCTTAGTATGTGTGATGGTGACTTTACATGGATTGAAACAACCCTAACTGTTGCTGTATCATACTAACAGTCAACCTAGTGTGCATGTGTGTGCAAGATAGAATATATATTATTATATATTATTATTATATATATATTTTCAGTCTTTCCTTTTCTTGTCAAACTATAATTAACCCAATTAATTAGATTTTTGATCAAATTACAAGGCGGTCTTCTCCTTTTTTCCACAGGAACCAGTTTTAATAAAGATAAAATAGGGCTGTGAATCAAGGCCACAATTTAAATTTCTGCAAAGAACTTTAGTTTTACAATACTTTGTGTAAATGTAAAAATGTATTTAAATGTTACTAGCATTTAAGATAATTGTGCAGCTTTAATGAAATTATTAGATAGAAACAATGGTGACACAAACCAACCAAAACAATTAATATTAAGCCAAAAAACATCAGACCATCAAACCACTTTGCTCATTAGGTAATGTTAACTTAATACTAAGTCTTGTTGCTGTCAAACTAAACCAAACCATCTTTACTCAAAAAAACAAACTAAACAACAATGACCAACTGCTGCAATGTTTTTGAAGTTTTAGCTTCAAAACTGTTTGCTGGTTAAAGTGTGTTTCATTTTTATTTATTTTTTAAATCTGCAGAATCACCACCAGCACTGTGGTGACATAACGTGTGGATTTCACTCCTTTTTTACTTGTTCTAACATGACATTGCAGCCCCAAAAAAAAAAAAAAAAAAAAAAAAATCCCAACAGAGCAGCAGAATACAATGGTATTTTGTAGCATTTGAAGGACTCCACAGTGACCATGAAGAATCCACACTCCTCGGATTTCTTTCTTTCTTCTGACATTTATTTTTAAAATAATTATTATATTGCATTTTCTCCCTTTTATTCCTGATTCTCTTCTGTGACCTATAATTTAATTAAAGCATAAATCTTGTTTTTGACCAGAGATAGGTGGGA